CGGCTTACATTTGAGAAACGGCCTTCATCTGTGTGCTGGTTAATTGTTGTCAACTTCACAGACCAGGGTCACCTAGGAAGAGAGAGCCTCAACTGAGCAGCTGCCTCCAGGACACTGGCCCATGGTCAGGTTCTTGATTGCTGATTGACGTGGGGAGGCCCCGCCCACAGGGGGCGGGGCCACCCTGGGCAGGTGGTCCTTGTACTTGAGTGAGTCACAGAAAGCAAGCCAGTAAGCAGCATGGCCTCAGCTTCAGTTTGTGCCTCCAGGTTCCTCCCTTCAATGGCAGGCTGTTACCTGCGAGCCAAATTAACCCTTTATTCCAAGCTACTTTTGTTTATCACAGCAGCATAAAAATAACGTATACAGTTTGGTACCAAACAAACTTTATATTCTTTTATTGAGGAGAAGGAACTAAAAAAAAAAATTATTTAATTTTATGAGTATTGCCTGCGTATGTCTCTGGGTGTACGTCTCTGTACCATGTTCATGCAGTGTGGGCAGAGGCTAGAAGAGGGCGTCGGATTCCCTAGAACTGGAGTTCAGACAGTCATGAGCCGCCATGTCGATGAGCACTGGGGTTACAGGTGCGAAGAACACTGAGGACTTCCTTCTGAAATGTCTGACTTTTTTCAGGACATATGTGTAAGGGCAATTTATTTTATTTTACTTTTCCCAAGGCAGGGTCTCACTACGCAACTCTGGCTGTCCTGGATCTCACTCTGTAGACCAGGCTGGCCTTGAACTCACAGAGATCCACCTGGCTCTGCCTCCTGAGTGCTGGGATCAAAGGCGTGCACCACCACCGCCTGGCTGGGGCCTTTCTTTAAAAAAAATAAAATAAAATAAAAAAAGGTACCCTATATCTGGAATACCAAGCCACATATCCAAGTTACAGTGGACTAAAGATGTTGACCTTCAATGCATTCTCAACAGAGGCATGGGGCTCCTGCAGGTCTTCAGATTGTTTTAAACCCGGGGAGGATATCATCCACTGTGGTGATATCTAGAGACATCTGTGCTTGTTACGAGTGGGGGAAGGGAGCATGGGTGCCGCTGGCCTCCTGAGGGTGGAGTGGGGGGGGGACTCTGCAGGTGCCTCCTGAGGGTGGAGTGGGGGGGCTCTGCAGTGGCTCCTGAGGGTGGAGTGGGGGGGCTCTGCAGTGGCTCCTGAGGGTGGAGTGGGGGGGCTCTGCAGTGGCTCCTGAGGGTGGAGTGGGGGGGCTCTGTAGTGGCTCCTGAGGGTGGAGTGGGGGGGCTCTGCAGTGGCTCCTGAGGGTGGAGTGGGGGGGGGCTCTGCAGTGGCTCCTGAGGGTGGAGTGGGGGGGGCTCTGTGAGAAAGAGTTATCTGAGATGTCAGCAGTGGCACAGTCGGACACTTGCTCCAGATCTCCCAGAACACTGGTTGTGGGGAAGAAGCCCCGGGCCCTCCCCTCTGGGGTAAGGCTCCTGCAGCCAGGGAGCTAGAGGCAGCTGTAACGGAAAGGGTCATGAGAAACAGGTCTTCAGCCCAGGTAGATAGTTAAGATCTTCCTCGTTGATTAAAAACCAGACACTCTAGCAGTCGGTCGACAAGCCAGAGACGCTGCTGACGTTCCAGTGTGTTCCTCTAGGATTCTCCTGGCCACAGCCAGGCAGAGCGTGTGTGCCGCTCTCAAATCTGAGGACTGGGGTGTCCACTGTCTTTGCCACTCAGCACATTTTAGATCTTGGAGCTTCTGATTAGGAAGATCCAGCTGTTAACTCTTGAAATCCTAAAATGTGCCTGGTCCCAAGCATTCTGGGTAAGGGATCCTCAACTTGATTCATCATTTACCAGTGAGAAAGGGGGTGTACTATACAAATGTCACTGCTTTATTTCCCACCATGCACCTTGTATGACCACCCATGTGTGTGGGGGGCGGCCTCCATCCCACAGATGGCCTCTGTACTGGCTGGTTTTGTGTGTCTACTTGACACAAGCTGGAGTCATCAGAGAGGAAGGAGCCTCAGTTGAGGACACACCTTCAAGAGCTCCAGCTGTAAGGCATTTTCTCAAGTAGTGATCAGTGGGCGGTGCCTTCTCTGGGCTGCTGGTCCTGGGTTCTGTAAGAAAGCAGGCTGGGCAAGCCAGGGGGAAGCAAGCCAGTCAGCAGCACCCCTCCACGGCTTCTGCATCAGCTCCTGCCTCCAGGATCCTGCCATTTGAGTTCCTGTCCTGACTTCCTTCAGTGACAGCATTGTGTAAGTGAAAGCCAAATAAACCCTTTTCCTTCCTTGCTTGCTTTTTGGTCATGGCATTTCATCACAGCAATAGACACCCTGACTAAGACAGCCTCTTAGGTTATGTTCTATTAGGGAGAACGTGGCACTCAACGATCGTTTTGTCTGTGCATTTGTAGACTTGTAGCCGATAGGTGCAGTGGGTGTGTCCACATTAATTTATATAAATTAATATGTTAATTAATTTATATAATCTACACATGTAGATTATAAAGCCCTCCCATCCCCCATTCTTTGCATTATTTGTTAACTGAGTCCTCCTGGTCATTAGACCGTGGAGAAGAGCAAGTCATGAGGATGGAAACACTGACCGCAGGCACTCAGACCTGCTGGTTGTATTCTAGCCTTTTGACAGTCATTGGTATAAATATGTATCAAATAATAAAATACCGAGATTAATTTGCAACTGTCTCCTGTCTTACAAATGATGGTGGACCCGGTCAAGCTGATACACTAGAAAACCAAAATCTCAAGTAAAGTTACTGAAAAGTGGGAAGTTAGACTCAGTTAACAGTAAGGGTGACATAGGCAGATACATACGGTGTATCTGGTAGGCTGAGAGGCCATCAGGTGTTTTTACATTCTTCTGTGTCTACATGTTTGTGTGTGCAGGTGTTCATGCATGAGGAGGCCAGACATGTCATTCCTTAGGCACCACCCACCTTGAAAAAAAATTACTTGCCAGGCGGTGGTGGCGCACGCCTTTAATCCCAGCACTCGGGAGGCAGAGCCAGGCGGATCTCTGTGAGTTCGAGGCCAGCCTGGGCTACCAAGTGAGTTCCAGGAAAGGCGCAAAGCTACACAGAGAAACCCTGTCTCGAAAAACCAAAAAAAAAAAAAAAAAAAAAAAAAGAAAAAAAATTACTTAATGTGTATGGTTCTATGTCTGTGCACTGTTTGTATCCCCAGTGCCTGCACAGATTGCTTGGAACTGGAGTTACAGTTGTGAGTTGCTATGGAGGTGCTGGGAATTGAACCCTGGTCCTCTGCAAAAGCGGCCAGTGTGTTAAATTGCTGCACCATCTCTCTAGGCCCCATGTTTATGAGGCAGGAGGCTCTCGCTGTCCTGAAGTAGACTATGCTGGCTCTGACGGTCTGAGGATTGAACCGGGTGCTTCTGGCTTGCAAGGCAACCCCTCTGCTGACGGAGTCCTCTCCCAGGCCCCCCATCTGGCAAAGTTCCCTCTGTGATCCCATTGCAAAACCCAAACGAGGCCGGGCGGTGGAGGTACACGCCTTTAATTCCAGCACTTGGGAGGCAGAGCCAGGCGGATCTCTGTGAGTTCAAGGCCAGTCTGGTCTACAGAGCAAGATCCAGGACAGGCACCAAAACTACAAAGAGAAACCCTGTCTCAAAAAACAAAAACAAAAAAAAACCCACCAAAACAAACGAGGATACCGAAAGACATTAAGTGTCCCATTTGAGAACCAAACATTGGGATCATTCTTTGTTCATGGATATAGATTGGAAATTAAGAACACACCTCTGTTAGCTGTTTTGGGGGCAACGGCAGCAACCACAGCGCTACCGTTTCCTCTTCCCTTCTATATCCTAAGAAGCTCTGGTTACCATATGAAGTGCATTCACCTGAATTTCTGGGTCAGTTCTCCTTGGTCTAAGCAGGCCCTCTCATAAGCCCAGGAGAGCTGGGTCCAGGTTTGTTAGTCCCCAAAATGGCCTGATTTTTATTTTTATTAATTTAAAAGTTCTGTCTAAGCATGGAGATCAGAAGAAACTTGGGAGTTAGTTCTTTCTACGACATGGGCCCCTAGGATTGAACTCAGGTTGTCGGGCTTGGTGACATGCCACTTGACTTCCTAAGTCATCTTGCTGGTCCAGCTGAATTTACCAGAGCTAACTACCGGCATGCTAGCTGAAGCCATCTCTCATCGTCCAGAGGAAAAGAACGGAGCCTACACCAGTGGTGCATTAGACGGCTGACATTATTTCCAGCTGGCAGCCAGAGACAAAGAGCCCAGCTGAGTGCTTCCTGCACTGTCCTCCCAAGAGAACCATTCCAGCAGGCCCGAGGGCCTGGCCGGGAGAGCCTGCAGCCTTGTAATCCCACCATGCGGCTCACTGTTCGGAAGAGCATTTTCCAGGGCCGTGAAGACAGCAGAGTCAAACAGATGTGCTACGATCCTACGCACATAGGCACACACCCAGCCTTCTCCGGCAACTTTAATTAGAATGTTTAATCAAAAAGCAACTTAAAATTCATTTTAAAAAGTGGTCAGCAGCCGGGCAGTGGTGGCGCATGCCTCTACAGAGCAAGGTCACAGAGAAACCCTGTCTCAACAAAACAAAACAAGTCGGTAAACCTGACAAGGGCCAAACGTCAAGCAGATAACTAGGTAAATCCTGTGGTCTCTTTCCCAGCTTCTCCAATTGTCACTGTAGCAAGGAAGCCACAGAGGACAAGTAACAACCTGTGGGTACTCTCTGATCAAACTTTATTTTTGGACACTAGGATTTGAATATGTATGCATTCATGCATGCTATAAACAATATTTTGATCCTTTCAATCATTTGAAAGTGTGAAAACCATTCACTGAAGACTGTACAAGTGTTTGCTGACCCAGCCCAGGCCACTCTTAGCATGCTGTTCTACTCCCTGTGTGTTACCTCACTTACAGCGAAGATCTGACTACCACACGTCAACTACCAGCTTTATAAAGGGTCTGTCAGAAATGTATGCCAGGCCATGCTGAAACCACCACAATGAAGAGGAACCAACTGAATTTGAAAAATAGGCTTTATTTTAACCAGTGGTATTGTCTGACATCCTATGGCATATGGAACTACAGTCAAGTTCATGAATACAAACAAAACAGCAGTTCCCTCATTCCCTTGTTTTCTGGTAGAGAAACTGGGAGATGGCAGCATTTGGCTATGGATGCCAGGAGCTCTCGGGCCAGCTCCAGTGAGTCCGGGCCCTGGAGCATGGCCTCTTAACACAGCATGGTCACATGTGCAAAGACATCTTCAATAAAGTAATCCGAGCAGAACTCTGTCGGAAATCACTCGCCTTCCTAACCAGACACGACCACCACAATGCATGTTGCTGGGTTGGTGAAGAGCTGAACAGCATACCGAGGTGGCAAAGCCTGGCCAGTCTGCTTCCTTCTGGGCTCCGGATGATTTGGGGTCCTACCCTGCCTGCCTGGAGCATGTGTCCCTGCACTGATAGAGAATGGAGCCACCTTGACCTAAATACAAGACCTGTCACGGCCAACACTGGAATTGGCTTTACATTTTCTTACTACACAAAAGGCTTAAATATATGGGTCCTCATATAGCACAAAGTGCCCAAAATTCAGAAAATTATGCAAACAGTTCTTCACCCCTGAGGATTTCATCTTTATAAAGGTGAAAATACAAAACATTAAAATAATTTGCCCTTTCTCCCCATCAGAAGGAATCACATTCTCTAAGGATTCCTACAACATATAAAATTCCAAGACAAAATTGTTTCTCCCCAAATCAACACCAAGACCGAGAATCAGTCCGTGTCTAGCTGCTGGGAGGACCCTTCTGAGGAGAGGTGCCACTGACCCCCTGGTTTTGTTCTTAACAACTCTATTCTGAGAAAGACAGTGAAAGGAGTCCCGGCCTCACGAGCCTGTGGTCCTCACTGCGGTTCAGCGTTTCTTAGCTGGTTATCGAGTGAGAACATGATTTCCAGAGCTGGGGACATTCTCAGGAGAGGCCTCGTTCCCCCTGAATTGGTGACAGATGGCAAGAGTTCAGGTGCTCTGTCCGTCCTTGCGTCTCCTTGCACCACAGCACCTGGAGGATCAGTTGTGTTCAACACAAAGTAGCGTTGGAGTGAGGAGGCAGTGGTGTGCCCATGGCATCAGCTGAGGCAACATGGACTAGAACTGCCAGAAGTCTTCACATGCCGGCCTGGGCTTCCCGAGGACAGACATGGGCTATGCAGCTCCAAGAGCACGGCATGCAAACACCTGCACTCTGCTAGATGTGAAGAGCACACAGGAAGCGGGTGACGGCGGGAACCTGCGCCTGGCACTGGAGACCTCTGCACTGAGGTGAAGGGTAAGCATAGATACCACTCGCTCCCGGGAGAGGGCGGGCGGGCAGGCGGTGGACACAGACAGACAGACAGACAGACAGACAGACAGACACACACGCAGCCTCCCTGAAGGCTGCCTTGATTCTTCCAGCTCACCACTGGCCACCCAACAGCCCCGTGCACTCGCCTGGCTCAGAACGTCAGCAGCTGCGGTTCTGTAACTATCTAAGCGTCCTTTTCCTTTTAAGGCACAAACAGACTGACACACCTGTCAGGCTCTGAGGACCACTTTAGTTAGTAAGTAAGCCAATCACAGGCTAGGGCCTGGGAGCTAGTCGGTCCTCTTCGGCTGTCTGCATGGCGGGGGGACGGACACGGCCTCTCTGTACCACTGTGGTGTGTGGGAAAGGCGGGGCCAAAGTGTAATTGAGAACAGGGATATTTTAATATTTCTTACTTTGCACTTAATACATCCCTAACAAGATAGCAGTTCCCATCTGCCTGCCCAGACTCTGAGAAAGCAGGCAGAGGCTGCCAAAGAGCATTCACGACTCACGAGGTCACTGCTATCACAGTGACTTCCATCCACAAAGACAGACAGACAGACAGACACACACACACACACGAACACACAAACACTATGTGTATACATGCACCCCCTTCCACCATGAAGGAATCTTTCAACAAGAGGCACTTGAATGATATTTGGAGAGTTCCCATGAAAAGGCCTTCCCCTCACAGTGAAGTGGGATTGACAGAACAGAAACCAGGTGTTCAGGACTCCATTTCTTCTTGGTCAAGGGGCGGTGGCACAAAGCTGATGACTTCATCGTACGTCAAGCCTACAACAGGGAAGGAAGGGCGAGGTGTGAGAATTGAGACCACTGTCTTTGTGGCCAGACACTCCCCCCTATCTGCCTTGCTCATGACCTGCAGCTAGGTTCACGTGAAGAGAACTACCCTGTCCACTCACTGCTCAGGAGTGTGTACAGACCCCAGCTGGCCTCAAACTACCTATGTAACTGTGAACGGCCTTAACCTCGTAACCTACTTCCTGAGTGCTGGGACCACAGTGTGTACACAGTACTAGGTTGCCATTGATGAGCTCTTATTTTCCCAAGGCTTTTGATTAATGAGAATCACCCAGAAAAGAGTTTTAAAAATAAGTTTTTGGGCTGGGCATGTGGTTCAGTGGTAGAACACTTGTGTGCATGTGTGAGGCCTTAGGTCCAATAAGTCTGGCATGCTGGCACACACCTTTCAGCACTTGGGAGGCAGAGGCAGGTGGATCTCTGAGTTTGAGGCCAGCCTGGGCTACGCAGAGAAAAGCCCTGGCTCAAAAACCAAACAAAGAATAAACTGAAATCAAGCTCTTGAGCCCATTCTAGCCCGCCTCTGGACTTACTTTTCCACTCATCTATAAGGAGGTCCCTGCTTTCAAAGGACTGGTCATAGGGGTCAGCCACAGGCTCATCATCAGGGTCATGGTACTGAGCAAAGTAGGCGTGTGCGAGGGCTTGGGCTGCTGTGATCCTCTTATCTGAGTCCAAAACAAGCATCTTTTCCAGCAGGTCCACAGCTGTCACACAGAGGAAAACATGACATTAGTGCCACCATCACGCAAGCTCCTTTCATATCCAAACAAGAGTCCTTTCAGGTGTGTGCTCCTGTGTGTAATCCCTTACCTGTGTGTACATGGATGAACGCAGCTGCTACATTTTAAGAACATTACTGGGCTGGGCAGGTATAAAGCACTTCCCTGATCATTCTAGAGGTCTTGGGTTTCAAACCCAGACCAACAAACAAAACAAAACAAACTAATAAAAGAAAAATTAAGAACAAAAAACTTGGGCTGGGTGGTGGCGCACGCCTTTAATCCCAGCACTTGGGAGGCAGAGGCAGGTGGATCTCTGAGTTCGAGGCCAGCCTGGGCTACATAGCAAGTTCCAGGACAACCAAAGTGAGACCCTGTCTCACCTCCCCCCCCCCAAAAAAAAAACCTTCAAATGAACAAAACAAAACAACATATACTCCCCAGAGCCAGGCTTTGACCAAGCTTTCCCGCAGTGTCAACACCACAGTGACTATTGAATCAAACTAGTGAAATGGAGGCCAATGGCTAAAGCAATCTATGAGGCAGGTTGTTTGACTTTTTTTGCGCTCTTCCTATACTATACAACTTATATTACGGTATATAATGAATAAATATTCATCCAGAACGTCAAACAATTAGCAGATTGAGGGCTTCCCAGAGGGTCGCAGAAGAAAAGATACTCGACAAAGGTATCTGATCCTTAAGACGTCCACTGTGAAAATTTGAAATATATAAATAGCTGTTAAAACAGCAGGGGCACCCATGTCCCATGCAGGGGCATCAGTCAATATCTGACATTTTCCACATATTTCTGTGTTTCTCCTGACCTGTTAAGATTATTGAGATGACACTTTATATCCCAAATATTTCAGCACAAAAACATCGTCCTACATGACCAGAACACTGTCATTAACTCCAAATCTAGTTCGTGGTAAAATGTCTCCAACTGTATCAAAGCTGTCTCCAACAACTCATTTGTTCAAGTCATGACTCATTTATGGGGCTCACTCTCGCTAGCTTTTCTGAAACCCTCTCATCTAGTCCAGGTTGACCTCAGACCTGCTATGTAGTCCAGGATGATCTTGAACTCACGCTCCTGAGCACTGGGATACAGCCAGTCATCACCACAGGCTTCTACTCCTTCTTCGAGCTCTTATGTACCACCCTCTCACTTCCCTCTACTCTTTAGATTTATCTCTGAACTGGAGAGGCAACCTGCTCCACTGCCAGTACAGCTAAAGGTGACTGGCATCTCAAGATCTTCCCCGCTCCCCAAGTGAGTAGTCTGGGGGAACATTTGGCTCCTGGTGAGTATTAGTTACTTTCTTTCTTTTTTTTTTGGTTTTTTCGAGACAGGGTTTCTCTGTGTAGCTTTGTGCCTTTCCTGGAACTCACTTGGTAGCCTAGGCTGGCCTCGAACTCAGAGATCCACCTGCCTCTGCCTCCCCAGTGCTGGGATTAAAGGTGTGCGCCACCACAGCCTGGCTATTAGTTACTTTCAATAATGGTTTTAGCATTACTGATTTTTCTCTCTGAGGAACAGAGCTGTCCACTTCTGTCTGAGAGCGTTCTGCTTGGGTAATGCCACCCTGAACAGCTATCAATGAGACAGAAAGGCTCTCCAAACCCCACAGGTTCTTCCTTTTAATTCTATGTGCACTACAGTGCATGTCTGCTGGCCTCCACAGCAGAGCCATTTCTCCAGCCCAGATGATTTCTTCACAGGAGGGCTACGGGTGCTGAGGAGGAGGAAAGCTTCCTGAAGAGGTGATGATGTCCCTCTGTTTATCACAGTGATCACAGATCTTGCAGCTTGAACTCTAGAGTCAGGCTTTGAGTGTACAGAGGAAACAGGAAATATGCATATGTTGGCTTAGATTCTTGAGTCTACACTTTATTTTTTATTTTATTTCTTTAATTTTTTTTGGTTTTTCAAGACAGGGTTTCTCTATGTAGCTTTGTGCCTTTCCTGGATCTCGCACTGTAGACCAGGCCGGCCTCGAATTCACAGAGATCCGCCTGCCTCTGCCTCCTGAGTGCTGGGATTAAAGGCGTGCGCCACCACCACTCGGAGAGTCTACACTTTAAAGAGGGACTGGGATGTAGATTGCAGAGTGCTTGCCAAGTGTGCACAAGGCTTTTGATTCCAAACCCAACAGTGCATACACTGGGCATGGTGGAGCACAGCTGTAATCCCAGCAGTGCATACACTGGGCATGGTGGAGCACAGCTGTAATCCCAGCAGTGCATACACTGGGCATGGTGGTGCACAGCTGTAATCCCAGCACTGCATACACTGGGCATGGTGGAGCACAGCTGTAATCCCAGCACTGCATACACTGGGCATGGTGGTGCACAGCTGTAATCCCAGCAGTGTATACACTGGGCATGGTGGTGCACAGCTGTAATCCCAGCAGTGTATACACTGGGCATGGTGGAGCACAGCTGTAATCCCAGCACTTGCGGGAGGAAGCTGAGGATCCAGGGACTGACAACAGGGCGGTTAGTATTTATATCGGTGGTGTACGGCCCAGCTAGTCATCGGTCACAGCATGTTCCCTCTGACATCAACACTTGGCAATGGGCTGTGAGGCACGTTTGGATATGAGCAGGCTGTGCTGAGCACCAGATTTCACTCCCCAGCAGTTTGGACTGACTCCTGGTAGCCAGTTCTTTTTAGTGTTTAAATGGGGACACCCATCAGGACATGTGTGACTTCAATCAAAAGCAGAAGACGTCCTTTTGAGGCAGTTAAGAGAGTCAGACAGGGGGCACTGCTCCATCTGAAATGTGGGGTGCTGGGGTGGATGCACTCTCCATCCCCCTAACATCCCAGAGAGCTTAGAGATCACGGAGACCTCACAGACCCCTACCTGAATGATGCAGCTCAAGAACGCCATAGAAGGCCTAGTGAGAGCATGCCAGGGAGGCCACAAACCAACCTAACCCCTCAGTATCCTGCACACTTGAGGCTGGAGTGACGTAGCTTAGGCTGGACTCACTCCTCCAAGAGTGTGGGCACCTCTCCTGCCACAGGACCACAGCAGCCACAGCCACAGTGAGTGTGGCACCTCTCCCGCCACAGCCGCAGCCACAGTGAGTGTGGGCATCTCTCCTGCCACAGCAGCAGCCACAGTGAGTGTGGCACCTCTCCTGCCACAGCCGCAGCCACAGTGAGTGTGGCACCTCTCCTGCCACAGCCGCAGCCACAGTGAGTGTGGCACCTCTCCTGCCACAGCCGCAGCCAGTGAGTGTGGCACCTCTCCTGCCACAGCCGCAGCCACAGTGAGTGTGGCACCTCTCCTGCCACAGCCGCAGCCACAGTGAGTGTGGCACCTCTCCTGCCACAGCCGCAGCCACAGTGAGTGTGGCACCTCTCCTGCCACAGCCGCAGCCACAGTGAGTGTGGCATCTCTCCTGCCACAGCCGCAGCCACAGTGACTGTGGGCATCTCTGCTGCCACAGCCGCAGCCACAGCGAGTGTGGCACCTCTCCTTCCACAGCCGCAGCCACAGTGAGTGTGGCACCTCTCCTGCCACAGTCGCAGCCACAGTGAGTGTGGCATCTCTCCTGCCACAGCCGCAGCCACAGTGAGTGTGGGCATCTCTGCTGCCACAGCCGCAGCCACAGCGAGTGTGGCACCTCTCCTTCCACAGCCGCAGCCACAGCGAGTGTGGCACCTCTCCTTCCACAGCCGCAGCCACAGTGAGTGTGGCACCTCTCCTTCCACAGCCGCAGCCACAGTGAGTGTGGCACCTCTCCTGCCACAGTCGCAGCCACAGTGAGTGTGGGCATCTCTCCTGCCACAGTCGCAGCCACAGTGAGTGTGGCACCTCTCCTGCCACAGGATCACCACAGCCACTCTTCTGCACCGTAGCTATGGATGAAATTCTTGAAAGGGAAGCAGCACCTGCACATCCCAGCTTCTGACCCACTGCCATGGCCAACAGCTCTCCAAAGTCAACAACTAACTCTGGTGCATGGCTTCTGGAACCCACAGAAAGAGATATGACCCACACAGACTAACAAGTGCAGTAAGCTTTAAAAACAGCCCTCCAGGAACATCTGCAAGAATGTACGGAGGCCAGGACACGAGCTGCCTCACCTGTTCACTCCCTTCCTACTGCAGGGCGTCTGTGGTCTGGCCCTTCTGGGTCTACTACTGCCCATGACACTGTTCCAGAGTAAGGAACTAGAGCCTCAGCCAGCAAACTGTCCTGGAACCATCTGAACATGTATTAGCTCCCATCTTTAAGGAATAATAACTGGAGTTTTAGCTAAGGCAAAACACATCTTTTCCAGGCCTTGGCAGAAATACGTTCTTAGCTACCATTGCCACTTCCGTTTGTCAGGGGATCCTAGAGGTAATAGGGGCAGCAAGGAAATGAGCCATCTCAGAAAGTCTGAGATGGCAAATTAACTCTGTAAAGGCAGCTAGTTACGCCCCTGAGGGGCAGAGAGAAGAGGAAAGGGCAGCATCTGTGAGAGTGGGGACAACAGAACCCAGGGCTGGGCACTAAGCGTGCACCTGCACTTCGGCAGTCTGTCCTCAGCTCAGCCCCACCCAGCACCAGGAGCTGGGAGGATCATGGCTTGCTTCTCGGCCTCCTTCCTTCCACCTCATGTCCCCATAATCTCCTACTGTTTTCTGTTCTCTGCTGCGCCTCTCCTTTCCACCACCATCTATACAAGCCCACCGCATGATTTCTTTAAACAGACAGTGACAGCCATATTTATTAAGACCCAAAAGACACCAAAAGAACGAAACTTCAAATCCCCAATCTATGTCACAAAATGAACATGATCAACTCACCCAGGGGGTTGGCGCCAATAAACACATTTGCAAAGTTCATCTTCGGCATCTGGGCTAGGGACTGAATGTAGTTTCTTGCCTGTAAAAACACGGACTTTCAGAATGACTGTTCAGTGGTGTTACTGCTCTCCGAGTGCCAGCAGCCCAGTGGCTGACCTGAGGCCCACCCATCCCAGTGTGGCTCAGCGTCTCATGCCGGACTTACTCCTCCTTTGGAGCCACTGACTGTATTCTTGCCATCTCCCCACAGTTCTGTTTCACATGGGTGAGACTGCCAACCAACTACCCTCTCATTAGTTTTCTGATCACAGGAGCAGAACTTTAAAAACAGAACTGAGATTTCTAAGAAGTGGTCTTTTCCAGGACTGTCTTCCTAATCAGCTAAGTTTGGAAGAGCTGGTACTGTAGCAGAGACCCACTCTAATCTGAAAAGTTATAGAACACACACACACCTGGCTGTAATCCCTTCCTACTTAACCAGGCAGACTGGAAGAAGGAATGGAGCAGAAAGGTAAGAAGAACCATCTCACCCAGAGAAGCCATCCTTCAATTAAAACAAGAAGAGCGTTCAGCGAGGGCTGAAATGCAAACAACGCTACCACGAGAGTTTGTCTGTCTGCTAACCTGACTTCCCAAAACACTGAGGGCACGTCAGAAGTACCCCAGTCACCACTGATGATGAACTGGAGTTAGGTTAAATGGTTATGAACTGGTCAAGAACCTGATTCTGAGTGCTCACATTTATTATGAAAAAAAAAAAAAAAACAACAAAAACACAGCACACACATTAGCGTAAGGTATTTTATAGTGTGTGCTTGCATACAATCCTCTCTTGGTCATTAAAAATGGACAGATAGGAAAGCATGCTAATGCACTCTGCTCCATGCCCCTGCGAAGAAGCTGCAGCGCATCCTAACTGCACACACCTACAAAGACACACAGTGCCTTAAGCACAAGATTCAGAAACCAAACACCCAGGGAACACTGCTTCCTACTCACAAGCCTACACTGTGTCACTGCCTCACAGTCTGCGTGACATTTCGTCCCAAGTGTCACTACTCTGCTAGCACACAGCCAGTCCCTGCCTCGGCAGATCTTGGGGCACACGCAAGCGTTTGGTGACATTAGAAACTGCCGCTTACACACAGACACTGCAATGAGAAGGTGGCCTGAGTTAGACCTCCCTGAACGTGCTACTTGTTCTCACCTCATGGCTGGGCATCCTGTTAATGAGATAAGCAGGGGGCGTCCCCGTCAGACGCATTATCTGCTGAAGCTGGTTAATATCTTAGATGCCTAGTCAAGGGTATTGTTAAACACAGTGCAAAAATCAACTCAAGCTGTGCCTTTGTTTTTAAAGTCAAAAAGCCATCCCCAAACAAAACAACTCTTTCCCACTACCCAAGCCCAAGCCTAAGGCCGCGGGTTAAAACATTTTTTGGAGAATGGCAGGAGCTTTTAGGCATGTAGCCGGTGAGAGGCCATGCAGACATAAAAACTAGCTTTTCCCTAAGTGTCAACTTTAATGTTAAATAGTTCAAGTTCCCTGGAAGCAGACTGCTCCTTGATCCAGGATGCCAGCCAGAGAACTGCTTTTAAGTACCAACAGCCGAAACCTGTTTGCCACAGTGGCAAACACAGAAGACGAGACAACGGTGACTAAACTCTGGAAAACTCAACTATCCAATACATCTACCTGAGGTACAGACTCTCTAGGAGTCACACCCTACAAGTTAAACCACCCGGATGGGTGTGCTGAGCTATGCCAAGTCTCAAAGACACTGGCAATGGTACATTTAAAATGCATGCCACAGCTGGGTGGTGGTGGCGGCACACACCTTTAGTCCCAGCACTTGGGAAGCAGAGGCAGCTGGATCTCTGTGGGCTCAAGCCAGCCTGGTCTACAAAGCAAGTTCCAGGACAGCCAGGGCTACACAGAGAAACCCTGTCTCATAGAAAACAAAAACAAACAAACACACAAACAAAAGCATGCCACACACACAGGCAGGTGAAGGGTACATGAGGAAGCTGATGGCAAAAGCAAAACCGAAGCCACAGGCTGGTGACAGTGTCAGAGCACGCCACGACTATCCCCATGCCTGTAACGAGGGGACATACCAACTTCAAAATGCCATGCTTCTCTGACGGGCACAACTTTACTCACTACAACTGTTGTAGGTTATAGCTTCTAAACTGTAAGAACTCACTGCCAGTTCATCACACTCCCTCTCAAAGTAGAGTGATGACAGTGTTTTAAATCTTACCGTGACTCAGTGAGCTTCCCTTCTACTTCCCTTCTCTTAAGTATCAGGTCTATCCTTCAGCTGAAGTCTCATCTTTAATAAACACCAAACAATTTCGGTCCTTCACGGCTTCCCTGAACTGTGCTTCACGTTAGCTCAAGTATGCCGAACTGTGCTTGACGCCAGATTACTAGATGTCAGATTGTTGATAACGTATCTGCCTTTCCTCTACCTGAGCCAAAAGATGGGCTGGCTCCTTCTACCAGATTCTAGACTTACCTTCAAGCAAAATACACACTAAACAATACTCTGTATGCTACGCGAAAGAACAAACAGTCACAGAGCAAACCAGTCAGGGCAGGATTCAGTTAGGTCTCACCCGTCCAAGTCCTGCCAACTCTCCTTGGGAAAGGCATGCAGAGGACCTGGGTTTCTCTGCTTTTGTGATCAGAACAGTAATCAGAACCCTCCCACGTGAGGGTCAGGAACTTACTTTTAAAGGGAACAGGAGTCAGTTCTTTGTTCTTAGTACTGTGATTTGTTCTTTCCCTCAATCTAGGTGCCAGGACACCACGAGTTCTGTCCCCGGCCTCCATCCTGACTATTTAATCCACCCCTACATTCTGCTACTCAGATCTGTGTGCTTGTCCACGCTGGATGAAGTATCCACAGCATCCTGTTGACTAGTCTTCACTAATGTTTCTTTTTAAAATTTCTAATTTTCCTTACTCAGCTTCTTTCCACCTGTACTTAGGCATTTTGTGCTCCCCATCCTTATGGAGTTCTAGGGAAGAAACCCATGGCCTTGTTGATGTAACTGAGCTACAGCTCAACACTAGTTTTTTTTTTCTTTTTTTAAAATAGTGTCTTACAAATTAGCCCAAGTTGGCCTCAAAGTTGCTATGTAGCTTGGACCAGTTTCAAACTCTTCAACCTTTCTGCCTCTGCCTTTTAAGTGCTGGGGTTACAGGCTTGTACCACCATACTTGGTATCATGTGCTTTTAAGATTCAAAAGTATTGGGTGGTGTCATCAACATTAAATCAACCTTGCCCACATTAAACACGTAGACTATCTTGATCCACTCATGACAATTATGTAGGGAAAACTCCTTTCTCATTACTATACTTAACAGAATATTATTGAGAGGATATTTATTTTGCCCAGGGCTGCACTAGAACTGTTGAAATGTATGATGCGTCCATCTCATGTTAAGATAATGACATCTCATTATTAGGCCACATATCCAGCACTGTTTCTTTTTCTTTTTTTTTTTTTTTTTGGTTTTTCGAGACAGGGTTTCTCTGTGTAGCTTTGCGCCTTTCCTGGATCTCGCGCTGTAGACCAGGCTGGCCTCGAACTCACAGAGATCCGCCTGCCTCTGCCTCCCGAGTGCTGGGATTAAAGGCGTGCACCATCGCCGCCCGGCCCAGCACTGTTTCTTAAACCTACATGATGGGTTAGTGATGGGCACGTATTACCTTTCCCATATGTGTGTTTCAGAACCTACAGCAAGCAGCACATACCTACAGGCAGATGGTGGAGTGGGAGGGATGCAGAGCTGCTGACAGCAGTACCAGGCCGGGAAGGAATGGGCCACCTCAGCACGGTTCTCTACCTAGCCGAGCTCCTTTCCCAAGCCCCACTCTGGCCCACGGTCCTCTTACCAGCCATTCTTTATAACACACTGAAACAAACTCCACAGCCTGTCTTTTCTAAAGACCACCTCCTATCTTTGGATCTCCATTCCCAGGGTCTGCATCTCAAAAGCACCTCTTTGGCTGTGGTCAATACTCCTGACAGTGACTTTCAGAATAATGTGCAAGTGCATGAGTTGATTAGCTCCCATTACCACAACATCTGAGATCAACTGCCTCTGCCCAGTGACTCAAAGCATGACTCAGGCAAGTCACAGCTTCTGGGTTTTCACTTCCTTATCTTAAACAAGTAAATGAAACACAATGAAATGGGCCTAGCACACCCTTTCACACCCCTCGGAACAGAAATTCAAAGTTGTTCTGAGCTCCACAGTCCTTTATGTGCAGCCACACACCACACGCTGGGTCCTGATCTTCTCAGGCGAGGTGAGGGTTTGGTTTTTTTTTTTTTTTTTTAAAGATTTATTTATTTATTATATATACAGTATTCTATCTGCACACCAGAAGTAGTCACCAGATCTCATTAGGTGGTTGTGAACTACTATGTGGCTGCTGGGAATTGAACTCAGGACCTCTGGAAGAGCAGTGAGTGCTCTTAACCTCTGAGCCATCTCTCCAGCCCGAGGGTTTGGGTTTTTTTTTTTTTTTGGTTTTTTTTCGAGACAGGGTTTCTCTGTGTAGCTTTGCGCCTTTTCCTAGAACTCACTTGGTAGCCCAGGCTGGCCTCGAACTCACAGAGATCCGCCTGGCTCTGCCTCCCAAGTGCTGGGATTAAAGGCGTGCGCCACCACCACCCGGCGAGGGTTTGGTTTTGAACAACCAAACCCATGTGCTGGCTGCCTGCCTCCTGCTACCCACCTGGGCAGAGGGTCCTTGTATTGGGAAGTGGTGGGAGGAGGCCTGAGGAGGGCGGGGCTTGGCTCCTCAGTTTACTTCCCTAAGGGGGGGGCTTTCCTAGCCTCCTCAAAGTTTCTGACCTCAGAAAGTGACCAACAGTTAGAAACAGAGTCACCTTCTTAGGCCTCCATGGAGAAAGCTTGAGTTCTAAGTGGCCCCCTTATGGTGTCACTGTATTGGCCAAGGTCCCTGGAGGAGCTCAGAGCCATCTGCAGATAGTCAGGAGTGGAGCAAGTTGCTCTGTGTGGTCTGAGGGTGGGGACAGGAGCCCCATGGGAGGACACCCTACATAGGCCGTGTCCCCCGCCCCCCGACAGAAGTAAAGAGCAGGTAACCCTTCAGAGATGAAGTCAGACTAGCACATGCTCAGTGCTCACAGAGTAGACTCAGCAGGAAGTGAGAAGAGCTCTTGAGAGTGTGGGCAACTTCAGAGAAGTCAGGGCTCAGGAGCGACACACACATTTCCCATTAATCTCTTGGAATGAACTGGAATCTCAGCTCTCAGTTTTATTAGCATACAATTGCCCCGAAGGGGTTCCCATGATTTTAAGTCCACACCCAGATAAAGATAGAATAGAACACACTCATGCATGCAAGCAGGCACATGCAGGCTCACATGTGTGCATACACACGTACACACATATACTTCAGAAGTCAGCACACAGACCACACACGCTTACAAACATTCAAAGGTCAAAGTGCAGAGTGATGGAAGGCAAGTGGCAGAGGATCCCCGAGAGGGCAGGAATTACAATCAAGGCATTAACTCACAGACTCTGAGGAGATTTTCTTCAGAAGCTCAGCCCCTGGGGTTCCAACGAGTCTTAAAATGAGCTTCAACTGATCAATATCTAATGATGGACTATAAAGGAAAATGTCGGGACAAAATAAAAGTGGAAAAACAATAATGAACAAAATAAAACAGAACAAACAAACAAAACATTCCAACAACAAAAATTAAAACCCCCAAACAAGGCCAACATGGTGAAAGATCCTAGGTGGAAGGCTTCTGCCGGGCTGCACTTCCAGGACACGCTCCTCCTGTACAAAGGTTCAAAGTGCCGCCACACACACATCTGTCAACATCACACAGCAGAAGTAAAGCACAGTGGTTGGGTCTGAGACAGCAGAGAAAAACACACAAGCTGCGCCACTCGACCATGGGCCCAGCCTCCACCTCACCTCCACCTTGGCACCAGGAGCCAGTTGAGCAGAGGGTGCTGGCAAGCAGAGGACCGCAGGAGGAACAGCAGTGGAGCACACAGCTATGCAGTCTATTTGTGACTATTCCCCTAAGGCTTGACCTAATGAGTTTGCAATCTGACCGTTGGGAGGCCTGCTCTGATCCCAAAGCCTGCAGAGTGCCCTCTGGAGACCTCCCCCACCCCTCTATAAGGCAGAGCATGAGGGACAGCCAGCCGGCAGAGGGCACACCGTGGCTTCTGTCAAGAGTGGCGCAATAAATTTGAGTACACCAGGCTTCAACCTTA